GGGAAAGGGCAGGCCAAGGCTGAGTTAATTGCTCAGGGAAATCCAGGAACACAGTGTGGTTTGAACAGGATAAGGGAGGAGAGAGTGGGTAAGAGGTGGGATCAGAGGGCTGGGCTGAGCCTGGGTCACCAGGGTGGCTTTGGTCAGAAGTCTGGCTTTTATTTGAGGAGCAAGAGATATAGCAGGTTGTACATCTTCCTGCCTCTTCATTAGAGCATGGCAAGTGTTAATGAGCCATCTTGATGATTCAGGATTATTCTATAGTGTAACTCAGTGTGGATAATACTTAGGATATCCATGGCGGGGGGCAAGCATTGCTGTCCCCCAAGCACCAAATATTCCCAGAGCCTTAAGAGTTGTGGATTCTGCTCCAGCTGTGCCCACTCTGCATGGACCTCTTAATCCTGCTTGCCTGACAGCCATTGAAGGTGGCTTAGGGGCCATGAGCTTCACCGGCCCTGTTTCCAGAGGCTGTTTCCCTTGAACTTGCAGGTGTAGGTTGGTTCTGGGTGGGAGCTGTCCTGGAAGCCGGTCCCCTTACATTTGTAAAGTAGACAGCTGCCCAAGTCTGATGCCCCACGAGATTTCCTTAACCCTCCCTCCGTGGTGTCTCCTGTCCCCTTGGAGGGGACCTGTCGAACTGTTGGGCTCATTTTGGGTGCAGGGTGCACATTGGAGGAGTCGTTAAGGATATCCCGGTGGTGGAGGGACAGCAGGTAGGAGTTGTAGGGAGGTTTCAGTTGGCCTTGGGCAGGGAGTCCCTGACAGCTGTAGTGGAAGCCACTTCTAAAAGGATGGACGTCCCTTCCTCCCCAGGATGTTTTTAAAGCAGAATGGGGCAGGCTTGTCGACAGCCTGCTCTGGGTCCGACCCAGAAACAGGACATGGACCCAGGGGAGGCTGCAAGGGTTGTGATGTGCTGTCCCTTCTCAGGGAGCTCGCTTCGAGGTTGCAGAGCCAAAACATAAGCCTGGACCAGGGGTAAGCAAAATAAGGCAGGACAGCAGAATAACACAGACCACTGCATGTTCATTGTCATGGGTTTTTTTGGCCCCTCTGTGTGGCTTAGGGGATCTTAGTTCCCCAGCCAGGGATTGAACCTGGGCCCTTGGCAGTGAAAGCTGGGAGTCCTAACCCGTGGATCGCCAGTGAATTCCCCATTGTCAAGTTAGAGAGAGAGAGAGCCCTTGGAGGCTTTTGCGCAAATCAAGGCATGTCCTGAAGAGTCTCATCGTGGGCTTTTTGTCCTTTAAAAGATTTTGCCCTTTTTTTTTTTTTCAGTTTTATTTCACAGACACTGTTATATACAAATGTAGAAAATACTTTATCAAATGCCTGCAGAGCTTAAAAAAATAACTTTTTTTTTTTTTTTTACTGTGTTAAAATGCTGAGTTTATTTCACATGTATATTTTTGTCTCCTCACCATCTCCATTTGTCTGACCACCACTACTACTGTGTCTTATCATAACATTCCATACATACTTAAAACTAAGCAAAGGGTGGAGTTCCATCTTTAAAAACTAAACAGGCATTTTGGACAACACATTCTTGGCAATGGAACCTGGACAACATTTATCGGACACGGTAGGGGAAGTTCTCACTCTGCATTGTAAAAAGGACAGCCAGATATCAACTGTTACAGAAATGAACTAAGACAGAAAAGTTTAACAAACTGTTTAAACTATTTTTCTTAAAGGGACTTCCTCCACTGCCAGAGATCTTGAATAGCCTCCTGGTCAGTCATCGGAAACAGTTATTCACATAATTGACGAATTTGGCTTCCACTTTGGGAAGGGGACCACCTTTTTCTATACTTGCTTGCATTTTTGCTTTAATGTCTTCTACAGAGCTAGGTCCTTTTTGGTGTTTTAGGAGTTTTTTTCTGTTTTTTGAAGGATTCTTGACATTTTGATTTTGGTGTTGATGGTTTTGAGGCTTTTCCATTCTGGTTTGATTTTTGTGCATTTTTGGCTGGAGTATCCATACAGCTTTCTTTACTGGAGCTTTTTCTTCAGCTTCCTCATCATCAAAGTCGTCACCATCATCATTTTCATCATCATCATCATCTTCATCAGCAGCAAGTTTTACTTTTTTCTGTGGAACCTTGCTACCACTTCCAGGGGCAGTTTTAAAAGAGAAAAGAAAGTGCTTTATGTCTGAGTGCAGGAGAGTGAGATTTGGGGGATAATTCTCTTTTCAGAGGTGTAGTCTAGGATGCAGACTGTTTTCTTACTCTCTACCAACCCAGAGCCAAAGGGGATTTATTACTGTTTTAATGGATTAAAGTGACTAAGCTATTGAGCCTTTTAATGTCGTAGCTAAGTTTCGTGTTCACGTGTGGTCCTTGTGACAGAACATGCCTGTTAAGTGGATCGTTAACTAACCACTCAAACCGAGTCATTTGAAAAAAAAGGAATATGTATTTAAGAATCTTGGAAAATCCACTAGGCTAATTTGGTTTGCATTAAGGAAAAAAAACAATTCTGGAAACAACCTAAATGACCATCGAGAGATGAATGGATAGAGAAAATGTGGTCTGTACATACAGTGGAATAATGTTCAGCCTTAAGAAGTATGTGGCATCATGGCTGAACCTGGAGGACTTCAGGCTAAGTGGGGTAATAAGCCAGTCACAGAAACACATATACCACATGACTCCATTTGTACGAGCTATCTAAAATAGTCAAATTCATACAATCAAAGAGTAGAATGGTGGCTGCCAGGGGCTGAGGGCAGGGAGAAATGGGGAGTACTAATCAACAGGTGTAAAGTTTCAGTTAAACAAAATGTATAAGCTCTAGAGAGCTGCTGTACCAACATATACCTATAATCAGCTGTCGGAAAAAAGTGTTGCCTGCCCTCTCAGTAGACAAATGATGTTGCAGCCATCAAGCCAGTAAAAGCACCCTGGATGGTGAGCCCTGAGGGAACTCAGGCTGAAGACAGACAGGCAGCCCTCAGCCACTGTAGCCATCCTAAGCGGTGCACCCTGAGGACACTCGGGATGGGAAAGCACAGGATAGCTAAAGTGCATATCAAAGGAATGATGTCAGTGAGCCCTGATGCTTACATCTTCCCATACATAGAAAAAAATGCTAAATTCTTTAACTTGAGATGCTTGGTTTTCTTTAATTAACAATAATCTTTGAAGTTCCCACTACCTGGTTGTTGTTGCAAAACCTCCTATCTATATATACTGGCTCCTCCCTGACCTCTTGGGAGCAGTCCCTCAGCGTGATCTGAGAGGCTGCGTCCAGGCTTAAGTCCTTTTAAAAAAAAAAAAAAATTAATTATTATCTTTGGCTGTGTCTTCGTTGCTGCATGCAGGCTTTCTCTAGTTGTGGCGAGCAGGGGCTACTCTTCGTTGCGGTGTGTGGGCTTCTCATTGCTGTGGCTTCTCTGTTGTGGAACACGGGCTCTAGGTGCGCAGGCTTCAGTAGTTATGGCTCCCGGGCTCTAGAGCGCAGGCTCAATAGTTGTGGCGCACAGGCTTAGTTGCTCTGCGGCATGTGGGATCTTCCTGGACCAGGGCTTGAACCTGTGTCCCCTGCACTGGCAGGTGTATTATTTTATTTTATTTTATTTTATTTTACTTTATTTTATTTTTGGCAGGTGTATTCTTAACCACTGCGCCACCAGGGAAGTCCAAGTCCTCAGTTTTGTCCGCCAAATAAATTCTCAACTTTTAGGTCGTGCTTTGTTTTTCAGTTGATACAGCAGTTATGTGTGATCCACTTAAACGTTTCTTCAGAGGGTAGAACTCATGTTAAGTGTTCTTGCACAATAAATTTGTAAAAAACTTAAGAATCTTGGAAATGACCACAGTTGACTTAAACTCCCTTTCTCTTTTGCACTCCCAGGGCCTGGGTTCCAATAAATAATTGCTACCTCATGTCTAAAGAGATTCCTTTTTCTGTGAAAAAGACCAAAAGCATCTTCAACAGTGCAATGCAAGAGATGGAGGTTTACGTGGAGAACATCCGCCGGAAGTTTGGGGTCTTTAATTACTCTCCATTCAGGACGCCCTACACGCCCAACAGCCAGTACCAAATGCTGCTCGACCCCTCCAACCCCAGCGCTGGTGCTGCCAAGATAGACAAGCAGGAGAAGGTCAAGCTCAACTTTGACATGACGGCGTCGCCCAAGATCCTGATGAGCAAGCCGATGCTGAGTGGGGGCACAGGCCGCAGGATCTCCTTGTCGGACATGCCACGCTCCCCTATGAGCACCAACTCCTCTGTGCACACGGGCTCCGACGTGGAGCAGGACGCCGAGAAGAAGGCCCCGTCCAGCCACTTCAGCGCGAGTGAGGAGTCCATAGACTTCCTGGACAAGAGCACAGGTCAGCCCCAGGTGGGAGAGGGTACAGGGGCCTCCTGGGACACGGAGGCTCCCATCGGGGCCACACCTGTCTGGCCCTACCTGGTGAGCATCACAGAGGCAAAGAGAGCTGCGTGGCGTTTCAGCCCAGTGGAGCAAATTTTAATTTTTAACTGAGTAACCCATCGGGATTCTTGCTGTTAGGGACCCAGAAAATGAGAAAAGTGTTCCCCAAAGGCCAGCTGGAGGTCGTTCCTAGAAGTGGGCAGAGGTGGCCAGAAATCCTTCAGAGTTCTGTTCAAACGCCTCTGAGATGAATCACAACTTCCTACGACAGTTGTTTTCTTTCTCAAGAATTTTATTTTAATTGAAACATTTTTCTATCAAAACCAGATATTCACATTACTTAAGGCTCAAATATTAGAGGAACATGTAAGGGAAACAAGAATATTCTCTCCCCAGAGCAGTCCCACTTTTTAAAGGTCCACCCGTTGAACGGTTGTGTTGCACTTTGGAGCCTTGCTGCTGTGGCAGTGGTGACGAATGAGGATGCTGATCTCAGATTAGATCCCAGCTTTGCTACTCACTAGCCCTGTGGCTTTAGGCAAGGTACCTAATCCCTCCGTGGCTTGGTTTCCTTACCGGTAACACGACCATAATGATAGGACCTACCTCAAGTTCTTGTGAGGATAAATGAACCCACCATACATAAAGGGTTTAGGACAGTGCCTGAAACAGTAAGTGCTACAAAAATGTTGGCTACTATATGATTTCTTCTGGTAGTTGCTCATCCCATGCCTATGTGGATTCAGAGAGGTGTTACTGATGAGGGATGCTGGCTGAGTGTAACAAAAGCAAGGGTGACTTAAATTGAATTCTTTCTATCCAGACAGTTTGGTTGCATATTAAAACCTTTAAGAACTCTGTTTCCACAAGGAAATGGGTGTACTCTCATTTTTCTTGAAACACGGCCTTTACTCATTGTTCTTTCTTGTTGTATCTTAGAGAAGCATGGGTAGAAAGAAGCTCCACACTGAACATGGTAATGAAGGCAGCTAGCCCTGAGGCTCTGGGTTGGGGAGACTTTTGATGAACCCCAGGACACTCGCCCTATTCTCAAGGGTTTCAGCCCATGGAATGTCCACAGGAATGTGCACTTAACTGTTTTCACATCTTAACATTCTTCCAGAGAAATGGGAAATCTGCATTTTAATATAGACTCTCCAGTTATGAAATGTCAGCTCAAAATGTCTTAAGATATTTTCCGGAATGAATAAAGCACATCTACAAGTTGGACCAGTATTAGACCTCTGGCCAGAGCATTACCCTTGGATAGCCTTTCAGGCACCACCCTCCCCCTTCTTTCCTTCACATAAGAACTCTTTAAGGAGCAGGTGTCCGGAATTCCCTGGTGGTCCAGTGGTTAGGACTCCACGCTCTCACTGCTGAGGGCCTGGGTTTGATCCCTGGTCGGGGAACTAAGATCCCACTAGCCGCATGGTGCGGCCAAAAAAAAAAAAAAATAAAAAGGACAGCCAGATATCAACTGTTACAGAAATGAACTAAGACAGAAAAGTTTAACAAACTGTTTAAACTATTTTTCTTAAAGGGACTTCCTCCACTGCCAGAGATCTTGAATAGCCTCCTGGTCAGTCATCGGAAACAGTTATTCACATAATTGACGAATTTGGCTTCCACTTTGGGAAGGGGACCACCTTTTTCTATACTTGCTTGCATTTTTGCTTTAATGTCTTCTACAGAGCTAGGTCCTTTTTGGTGTTTTAGGAGTTTTTTTCTGTTTTTTGAAGGATTCTTGACATTTTGATTTTGGTGTTGATGGTTTTGAGGCTTTTCCATTCTGGTTTGATTTTTGTGCATTTTTGGCTGGAGTATCCATACAGCTTTCTTTACTGGAGCTTTTTCTTCAGCTTCCTCATCATCAAAGTCGTCACCATCATCATTTTCATCATCATCATCATCTTCATCAGCAGCAAGTTTTACTTTTTTCTGTGGAACCTTGCTACCACTTCCAGGGGCAGTTTTAAAAGAGAAAAGAAAGTGCTTTATGTCTGAGTGCAGGAGAGTGAGATTTGGGGGATAATTCTCTTTTCAGAGGTGTAGTCTAGGATGCAGACTGTTTTCTTACTCTCTACCAACCCAGAGCCAAAGGGGATTTATTACTGTTTTAATGGATTAAAGTGACTAAGCTATTGAGCCTTTTAATGTCGTAGCTAAGTTTCGTGTTCACGTGTGGTCCTTGTGACAGAACATGCCTGTTAAGTGGATCGTTAACTAACCACTCAAACCGAGTCATTTGAAAAAAAAGGAATATGTATTTAAGAATCTTGGAAAATCCACTAGGCTAATTTGGTTTGCATTAAGGAAAAAAAACAATTCTGGAAACAACCTAAATGACCATCGAGAGATGAATGGATAGAGAAAATGTGGTCTGTACATACAGTGGAATAATGTTCAGCCTTAAGAAGTATGTGGCATCATGGCTGAACCTGGAGGACTTCAGGCTAAGTGGGGTAATAAGCCAGTCACAGAAACACATATACCACATGACTCCATTTGTACGAGCTATCTAAAATAGTCAAATTCATACAATCAAAGAGTAGAATGGTGGCTGCCAGGGGCTGAGGGCAGGGAGAAATGGGGAGTACTAATCAACAGGTGTAAAGTTTCAGTTAAACAAAATGTATAAGCTCTAGAGAGCTGCTGTACCAACATATACCTATAATCAGCTGTCGGAAAAAAGTGTTGCCTGCCCTCTCAGTAGACAAATGATGTTGCAGCCATCAAGCCAGTAAAAGCACCCTGGATGGTGAGCCCTGAGGGAACTCAGGCTGAAGACAGACAGGCAGCCCTCAGCCACTGTAGCCATCCTAAGCGGTGCACCCTGAGGACACTCGGGATGGGAAAGCACAGGATAGCTAAAGTGCATATCAAAGGAATGATGTCAGTGAGCCCTGATGCTTACATCTTCCCATACATAGAAAAAAATGCTAAATTCTTTAACTTGAGATGCTTGGTTTTCTTTAATTAACAATAATCTTTGAAGTTCCCACTACCTGGTTGTTGTTGCAAAACCTCCTATCTATATATACTGGCTCCTCCCTGACCTCTTGGGAGCAGTCCCTCAGCGTGATCTGAGAGGCTGCGTCCAGGCTTAAGTCCTTTTAAAAAAAAAAAAAAATTAATTATTATCTTTGGCTGTGTCTTCGTTGCTGCATGCAGGCTTTCTCTAGTTGTGGCGAGCAGGGGCTACTCTTCGTTGCGGTGTGTGGGCTTCTCATTGCTGTGGCTTCTCTGTTGTGGAACACGGGCTCTAGGTGCGCAGGCTTCAGTAGTTATGGCTCCCGGGCTCTAGAGCGCAGGCTCAATAGTTGTGGCGCACAGGCTTAGTTGCTCTGCGGCATGTGGGATCTTCCTGGACCAGGGCTTGAACCTGTGTCCCCTGCACTGGCAGGTGTATTATTTTATTTTATTTTATTTTATTTTACTTTATTTTATTTTTGGCAGGTGTATTCTTAACCACTGCGCCACCAGGGAAGTCCAAGTCCTCAGTTTTGTCCGCCAAATAAATTCTCAACTTTTAGGTCGTGCTTTGTTTTTCAGTTGATACAGCAGTTATGTGTGATCCACTTAAACGTTTCTTCAGAGGGTAGAACTCATGTTAAGTGTTCTTGCACAATAAATTTGTAAAAAACTTAAGAATCTTGGAAATGACCACAGTTGACTTAAACTCCCTTTCTCTTTTGCACTCCCAGGGCCTGGGTTCCAATAAATAATTGCTACCTCATGTCTAAAGAGATTCCTTTTTCTGTGAAAAAGACCAAAAGCATCTTCAACAGTGCAATGCAAGAGATGGAGGTTTACGTGGAGAACATCCGCCGGAAGTTTGGGGTCTTTAATTACTCTCCATTCAGGACGCCCTACACGCCCAACAGCCAGTACCAAATGCTGCTCGACCCCTCCAACCCCAGCGCTGGTGCTGCCAAGATAGACAAGCAGGAGAAGGTCAAGCTCAACTTTGACATGACGGCGTCGCCCAAGATCCTGATGAGCAAGCCGATGCTGAGTGGGGGCACAGGCCGCAGGATCTCCTTGTCGGACATGCCACGCTCCCCTATGAGCACCAACTCCTCTGTGCACACGGGCTCCGACGTGGAGCAGGACGCCGAGAAGAAGGCCCCGTCCAGCCACTTCAGCGCGAGTGAGGAGTCCATAGACTTCCTGGACAAGAGCACAGGTCAGCCCCAGGTGGGAGAGGGTACAGGGGCCTCCTGGGACACGGAGGCTCCCATCGGGGCCACACCTGTCTGGCCCTACCTGGTGAGCATCACAGAGGCAAAGAGAGCTGCGTGGCGTTTCAGCCCAGTGGAGCAAATTTTAATTTTTAACTGAGTAACCCATCGGGATTCTTGCTGTTAGGGACCCAGAAAATGAGAAAAGTGTTCCCCAAAGGCCAGCTGGAGGTCGTTCCTAGAAGTGGGCAGAGGTGGCCAGAAATCCTTCAGAGTTCTGTTCAAACGCCTCTGAGATGAATCACAACTTCCTACGACAGTTGTTTTCTTTCTCAAGAATTTTATTTTAATTGAAACATTTTTCTATCAAAACCAGATATTCACATTACTTAAGGCTCAAATATTAGAGGAACATGTAAGGGAAACAAGAATATTCTCTCCCCAGAGCAGTCCCACTTTTTAAAGGTCCACCCGTTGAACGGTTGTGTTGCACTTTGGAGCCTTGCTGCTGTGGCAGTGGTGACGAATGAGGATGCTGATCTCAGATTAGATCCCAGCTTTGCTACTCACTAGCCCTGTGGCTTTAGGCAAGGTACCTAATCCCTCCGTGGCTTGGTTTCCTTACCGGTAACACGACCATAATGATAGGACCTACCTCAAGTTCTTGTGAGGATAAATGAACCCACCATACATAAAGGGTTTAGGACAGTGCCTGAAACAGTAAGTGCTACAAAAATGTTGGCTACTATATGATTTCTTCTGGTAGTTGCTC